CTATTGGTTTTGATCAGAATTTTCAAAATAGATCAAAGCAGACCGATCAGGTAGGGTTGTCACGGTAACCGGTGTAGCGGTAAACCCCGGTAAAAAAAAGTTGACAATAATAATAACCGTCTTGTTTTTAAAAAAACTATATTATCTTGGTGGGTTTACCGTGGCTGCGGTGTAGGCGCGGTGACCCCTACCAGCCACCGTATCATCTGCTGAAGTTGCCGGCGGCACATGCGCACTTTCTTGTTTACAACCAAGACTTTCTTGAAGCTAAAGCTGAAATAATGGCCAAAGGAGGAGACAGCAGCACTCAGGAGGACATTTCTTATCCCTCAAAGAAGACAAAGTTGGAAGTACGGGCATCTTTTGGATATTTGAAGAATGCCAAGGGACAGTTTATAGAAGACGGTTACATTTCCTTTATTCCCAGATTATGTAGTTTGTAGCACTCATTATAATGTTGTAGAAAATTTCTGGCCAATCCATGTGATCGGTATCGGTGATCAGCATTCTTTGATATCGGTATCGTGATCAGCAGCAAAAAACCTGATCAGTGCATCCCTACACGGCCTTCTTAGTTTTATTTAAGGGAGACACCGCGGATCTCTTTTGCCTCGCCCAAGTGCTCAGAGATAGACGTTCCTGAGAAGAGCCTGTGAAAAAAAACTACCAAAGCAGGACTCGGACCTGACACCATCCAGGCCAAACTGGGTCGATGTGGAAGCAGCAATCCTGAATGCGGCCCCTATTGGACAATTAAAAAATAAATCAATACTGCAGATTATGGCATGGAATATTGTAAATTTAATATCTCTGTCACTATGAAGAATATGCAAAGTTTATTGTATTGTCCGAGATGACTCACATGAAGCAAAAAGGAGAACATTTGGTAAGATATTTCCACCGATACAGGTACAATTGATTATTTATAAATAAATAAACCGATAGTTTTAATGCAGGAGGCCGTGCACATTCGTTGTTTTGACACCTATTGAACTACTCTGGAATTGATAAGGGAATTGGATCGAAAGACAGAATCGACAATGCCATTGATTAGGGCTGAAAGGTTTTAGGAAAAGATTGAATTGTGATTTTTCTAGCAGAAATTGCGATTTCAGTTCAATTCACGATTTTCTTCAAACAAAGGTGCAATACTAGCCTGTCAAGCCATCCTGTAGAATAGATTAAGTGAAATTATGGTCTAGACTCTAGTACAACAAATCATTCCCATTAATATTTACTATCTAATCATATAATAAAAAGTTAGGTGTTAATAATTTCTCCCATTATCTTTTTTTTGTGCTTGTGAAGCAACTTGTGATTTTTATCTAGAGAGGTGCTTTATAAAAAACATGTTCTTGTTCTAATCGAAAAATGCAAGGAGGAAATCTGAAGGTAGAAACAGCTTTCAAATTTATTAAATAACAAATGCACACAGTTTCCCCCGCATTACCAAGGCAGGCTGGCTGCACGTTTTTCGAAGCCGCCTGATAGTTTTTCCTCACTAAAGCTCTGCTATAAAGCCTAGCTTACGCTGAGGTCAGCTCTGTGAGAGAGACGCACGCATTCAAAGAGACACTCTGACACGTTAGCTTGTTTGAATTAATGTGTGCCATCAAACCATTTCTAAAAGAGGAGTTGAAGTTTCAAGTAAACTCCGCGCTCACACTGATGAAACATAAACCAAGCTTTAGAAATCAGCCTCAACCTGCTCTGATGTGGGAGGAGTCTCTCTCTCCCTCACTCACCTACGGTACCATTATTATCGGCTCTAGCAGTGCTGTGTGTGGAGAAATAAAACAGGGAAAATAACCTAAACGTGCAACTCTGCCAGCTGTGAAGTTGGGCTCGGCTCTGGACGGTACACCCCACTCCCCTCCCCCGTGCTGGCTGTAACACAGGGGAAACCCCCGGATGTTAAAAAAAAGTTACACAACAGATCATGGATCAGTCAAAACCGCTAAAAAAGACACATAGCTTTGACGGTCACAAGATTGTGCTGTTTGAAATCGCTATTTCGGGCCCAAAATGATAGATCGTTCGGCCCTACCATTGATATTGTTCAAAAGTATCAATTCCCAACCCCTAGGTCAGACGCTTCAAAGACATGTCAGGTGTTATCGCAAGATCTCATTGTTCCTTCAGAATGAAGCCAGTAACAACTGCTGCCACCTAGCAGTCAGAACTTGAACTGCACCACACAAAATAAATACAGTAAATGTTTACATGTAAATTATTTAAGGTTAGGATTAGGGATCAGTCAGTCCTAGATTTTCATGCAGGGTGAACATGAAAATAGTCTCCTACACCTATCTCCTGCATTGGATGTTGAAACTCTACATCACGCTGTCACTTAACATTCATGGACTCTCCCATCTTGACTCACGACAGGGAAGTTTATTGTTTTGGCATCTAGGAAACAGCAGAGAATGGCTAGTTAGCTAGCTAGTAGAAGCTAACTGTTAGCATTAGCAACTCCACCACACAGCAGAAAACCTCCAGGCTTGTGTTATTTGTGGAGATAAAACATTAATATCACAGAGCAAAAAGAATCTGTGGTAGAGTTGCATTGCTGTTATTCAGTCCAAGGAGAAATGTCCAAATATCAGACACCAAATCATGCCGTGTTAAGCTCTCCTCTGATGTAGCATTGTGCTAGTTCCTGAAACGAGGAGCATTGTGCTAGTTCCTGAAACAAGTGCATCTGAGCTCCTCCCACAGAATGGCATTAATTCCTACTAGAGACCACTGCAAATGTTTTGTTTAAACGGGTGTCCCACACCTTTAATAAAAAAACTGATATTCTGCTTTTAAATGTCAATTTAGTATCCTAACTAACCAAAAGAATGAAACATTTCTGCGTATCAACTATTTCTTACTTCCCTAATTAAAATAACATTAAAAACACTTTTTTAACAATGAATTTCATGTCATGAGGAGTTTAAAGTCTTTAAAGAGTTTAGCTTACTCTTGTTGGAGCCAAGCCAAATAACAGACAGGGTCACACAAAATCAACAGTTGTATGATTATACTCATTTTGAACCGACCTAAGCAAAATGAACTTTTTTTTTACTTAACACTTTTATCCCATAATTTCATGTCTTCATAATTTTGAACAAAGCAACAAATCCTCCTACCGATGTGCCTCAGTACTTGCTTTTGGCTCATCATCTTTTCCTCCTGCTCTGTTTTAAATTATTTCAGCCATTAATAAAAGATGAATCCCTTTACTCATGTGCTGTCTTTCTCCTGCCGCTCCACACGAACACCCTGATTAGCTAACCTGGCAGCAGCTGCCACGGTGAACTGCGTTTTGAACTTCTCTCCCATGTTCGGCGCGCCCATGTTCCATCATGAAAGGATCGCTTCCCCACCGATCAAAAAATCAACACAATTTGTGTGTGTGTGTGTGTGTGTGTGTGTGTGTGTGTGTGTGTGTGTGTGTGTGTGTGTGTGTGTGTGTGTGTGTGTTATTTTCTATTGCAGTAGAACTGCCTTGATGCGTGTTACAACATCAGAATGAAATGGCCCCATCTGTAACTCACAAACCCACGTATCTCACATATCTTTTAATGATTTCTGCCTGTGAAAATCCTGTGGTACTTCCACATTCTTTTGTTTACACCTGAAGGCTTAATAAATATCCACCACAAATGAGTTCAGCAGGGCCCATTGTTAATCTCTGATCAAGCTTTAATTAGATAAACCCTGGATTTTCTCTTCAGCTGCTCTACTTAGTAATTTTCACCAAATGAAACTGTTTCTGAAAGTTCTCCACGTGTCTCTTATCTTGCACTAAAATCATTTGGGAGGAAAACCTTCCTCACTACAGCTACTGGCTGTTCTCTTGTGTTTTCCTTTGTTGGTGAGAGGAAAGGGTCAAGGACTCAGGCTACTAACTTTATCCTTTTACACAACGTAAAACCAAGAATTACATCCATGAACTGCAGCAGATGAAACAAAGTACAAAAAAGCTAAAGATAACCAAATCCTGACAGCAACGTCCATCCAGTTCGGTCACCAGGTAACTATTCTGAGTGATGACCTCTGTGGATAATCTACTTGCAGGCTCCTGATTCTCAGAATGTACACGTTACAAAACCTGAACTTTAATAGAAGTGCTCATTAAAAACAAATATATGTATATTTCAGGGTGCAGCACATTTGTATCTAACATACAAATAATTTGTTTTTTTTTTCATCTTGTTTCTAAAATCTACAATAATAAATAAGGGTTAATTTGTTCCAGGGAGAAGTTTAATCTCCTCCCACATGCTGACCTTTGCTGGTGATTGTGGAACATGAAAAGGACTTAAGAAAAATACCCACTCATGTTACTGTTTTGGAAGGAGAACAAAGAATGAAGGAAGGAAGCCAATCCCAAAATGAAGTTCCTATAGTTACCAATTCACTCGGTAGTAGTTCACTTACAAATAGTGAGTAAATAATTTAGGAGAAGTGATCATTTTTAAAAGCTTGATTCAATTTTGATAAGACTTCCTCCAATAAAAGCATCAGATCATCCCATAAATTCATAGAATCAAATGTTTTAGTCTTACCTTTACTTTCATTGGTAGTAAAAAGGCCAAAATTGTCCCTTATAATGTCTGATATTTACTTTTTCTTGCTTATTAGTGTGAATAAAGTCTCTATTTTGTTAGTTTATTGTGTTTTGTCCTTTCTTACCAGAAATAAAATATTAATAGTTATTGTCACAAAAGCAGACATGTTATTTACCTGTTACACCTTGCTCTTCATTTAAACATGAAATGAAAAGCAAAACTATAGATTTGAAATCTCATTAACATCTTCATGAAGCACCAAAGCCAAACATCACGTTCCGTTTTTGATGTCCCAGCTGAACTCTGAGGTGACACACATTCTATTCTTTTAGACTGATGCATGTGACATCAGCCTGTAACACATTCTTTCTTTTACCTGAAAATACAATCTTCCACTTCCGGACTTTAGTTTGTTACCCAAGTCCACCTGTTGATACTCACCAACTTTAAACTGGCCTTGGTCTGCATGCTCCTTCTCCAGCATCACGTGCAAAATACCAAAAGAGTTCTGGATGCCGAAGATGGACCCATTGCACCAGGTTGCAGCAAAAACCACAAGCCAGCCCCAGCCTCCTTCGGGTGGGACGAAGCCAGGTCCGTGACCATGCATCCCAGCTTCTGCATCCGGAGCCGGGGAGAGCCGCAGAGCGCTGTGCTCACCCTTGCCTCCCGCAGGCAGACCATCCTTGCTGCTCTCCAATTCGATGGAGGCATCTCTGGGCTCCATCTGGGGGTTTGCAGCCGGCTGCTCCGTCCGGGACACTTCGCTGGACGGCTGCGCCTTACTGTCTAACCCGTTGGTCCCCATGCTGTCTGGTCTGGAGGAGCGGTTGCTGCTGGGTTTTGGTTTTGACGCGCATGCATGTGATATAGGTCACTGAGAGCAGAGCAGCGATTTGAATAACAGATTTGATTGGTTATCTGTCAGATGTGTGCGGTCTCCTAATGGCACACGAGCCTCCTACACGCTGGTGGAAGCCAAAGTCTGAGCGTCAACTTCGAATAATAAACCCCAACATGCAAATGTTGCATTTGTCATTGTGGTCCGGGTCTATATTTCCAGGAATTCACCAGCCAAATCTTCCTTTTTTTATTAGAGGTTCTCAGAAACTACCTTAACTGAGGCTTAACCCGCTTATTTTCTGGAATTGCCTCCCCCGCTCGGTGGGTCCGCTCCGCCTCGACACCCCGACGTGCTGTCATGCAGTCGATGTGCGGTCCGCACCCGGTCCGTGACATCTCGCGGGCGGTGTTAAGAAACGATTTGGGGCTCCTCCTCCTCTTTCTACTGACGTTTTCACGTTCACGCGCTGCCAGAACAAAATAAGTGAGCCTGTGCGAGTCCAGTCGTGGGCTGTGTCGGCTTTCAGCTGTCAACACCGCCTCGGCAGGCATTAAGCTGCTCTTCCACCACCTCCTCTTCCCGGCAGACAAACGGTTGTGACCAATGGCGTGACTTCATTTTGATCCAACCGTGACACGAGTTCGTCCCTCGCGTCTTTTTTCCGGAAAGGCCCGACTGCGCTAGAGACCTATCACGGCTGGGAAGCTTTTTTCGGCACAACACCGACCTAGCTAACAAGGAGGAAGAACATCCTGTAGCTAATATTAGCATGAAACAGCATACCATGTTTTGTTTTTAGCTTTGTTGGTAGGTTTTAGCCCTTTTCAAGGCCAAAAGTGTGTAGGAGAGAATTTTATATTCAGAAAATAATGTTATGCCTGTGATTTGTCAAAGTGTGTAATGAATGTGTCTGTAACTCTCATTTCCTTGTGTTTAGAAAGCAAACAGTATTACAATTACGATGTCATCAAACGCTTTCATATTATTTATTTGTATCCACTTCTTCAATTATTTATTATTTTTAAAGCTGGAAAATTTGTAACTGTAACTTTGGCAGCCTCTTGGTCTAGACTCCCTAGAAAATTAGGTTTTTAATCTCAATGGGACCTTACAGTTTAAATAAAGAATAAATAAATACATAAAAAGTAAATGCATTTATTTATTATTTTCTTTATCTGTATCTTTTTTGTTTGTGTTCATAAATATTTTTATATTAATAATTAATTTCGTGAATTGATTTCAATATTTTATTTTTTCTATTTTATCAATAGTTACAAGTAAAATTAACTTTATTTTCATTATATTGTTGTTAATATTATTATTTATAATAAAATAATATATCAGTATATATTAGTATGTATTATTATGCTTTTTAATAATACCAGAATATTATGCTGTGTTTTCAAACGTTAAACAGCACTGTGAGTGTGTAGCCAGTACGCGCTGCTGTAAATATTTGATGGGAGTTTTCTGTTTTGTCATCTTCCATTTTGGAAGCTAAATCTGAAATCCTTTAGAACAGCAGTCAGATGAACAGCACATGCTGAAAACAAGCTGGAATAGACTTTATTGACCACACAGTAGGGAAATGCACTTGTTACAGCACACACAACATTTTAGAGAATCGTTTGACGAAAAATTATAACAAAGGTACATGTATATACACATAGACGATAAGCCAGTATTGTAACCGTCGACCGCTAAAAACCACAAATATAAATGAAAAACTTGAGTTCCAGAACAATGCAGCATACTGTAAGGGACATAGACATACTATGTAAATCAGATACTGCACAAGTATTGAACACATACTGTGTATTGAATTGATGTTACTGTGTAACAGGATAATGCCAGTACCAGTTAAACTGAGAAGTTATACACTCTTACTGCAGAGGGAATGAAAGATCTACGGTAGCGTTCTGTTTTACATCTGGATGTCTCAGTCTGCCTTTGAAGGAGCTGTCCATGGTCTCCACAGTGGAATGCAGTGGGTGGGGGGGTTTAGAGGTCATCTTCACCATCATCCTCCTTTCACACATCTCCTCAAATGAATCCAGTGGGCAGCTCAGAACCGAGCTAGCTTTGTGAACTAGCTTGTTCAGTCTCTTCCTGTCTCGGTCAGAGCTACCTGCACCTCAACAGACCACAGCAGAGTGGATAACAGAGCCAATAACAGAGAGATAAAAGATTTTAGCTGCTGGGAATTAACTCCAAAGGACTTCAGCCTCCTTAGGAGGTGGAGGAGGCTTTGACCCTTCTTATACAGAGCATCTGTGTTGTTGGACCAGTTCAGTTTGCTGTTGAGGTGAACACCCAGGTAGGTTTCCACCACCTCAATGTCTGCTCCGTGGATGTTTACTGGTGAGTGAGGAGGAGTGTTTCTCTGGAAGTCAATCATCCTTTCCTTTGTCTTACTGGTGTTCAAGCGAATGTGGTTCCGCTCACACCAGTCCACTAAGCCCCTGATGACTGACCTGTACTCCGGGTCATTCCCCTCAGACACACAGCCGACAATGGCCGAGACATCAGAGAACTTCTGAAGGTGACAGCTGTTGGTGTTGTAGGTGAAGTCTTAGGTGCAGAAGGTGAAGAGAAAGAGAGAGAGAGCGCCATATCCTGTAGAGTTCCAGTACTGCACACAATCACCTCACACGTACAGTTTTTCAACCTCATGTACTGTGTGTGGTCTGTTGGTGAGGTAGTTGAGGGTCCATGCCATCAGATGTTTGTCCACTCCTGCACCCTCATCTTCTGCTGCAGTAGGGGCAGTTGGATGGTGTTATTAGGAACTTGAGAAGTTGAAGAAATTGATTCTCACAGTGCTCTTTTGCATCTCGAGGTGAGTCAAAGCCCGGTGCTGCAGGTAAATGAGCGCATCCTCTACCTTCATGTTTGGTTTATAATTTATATGTATTTTTTATTTGACCCAGCTCTCACCCTGGATTCTCACGTCACTGAGGTCCAGTGATCTAACTAGTTGTGCAACGCACCAGGCTAAAGACCAAAGGTAACATATCATCTGCTGCTGTGGCCCCCAGACTCTGGAACTCTCTCCCCTGAGCCTGAGATCAGTGAACTCAGTGGTCTCCTTCAAAAAGCAGCTCAAAACTCACCTGTTAAGGCTGGCTTTGGTGTGACCTTCTGTTCATCGTCTACTCCTCACTTCTTTTCATGCAGTTTCTGTCAATTCTGTGTTTTTTAGGATCCTATGAGTATCTTTGTCATTTTTATTCTGACTTTTTAATCTTAATTATGTTTTCCTCCCACTTTTTATTATTACCTTTTAAACTAGATTTTGTATTGTTCTTGTGGAGCACCTTGTGAGTTCTATCAGGACAAGTGCTGTATAAAAAGCCTTCTTCTTCTTCTTCTTCTTCTTCTTCTTCTCCTTCTCATGTTTTGCACAAACAGTCATAAAGCGCACAAAGTCAACCACATTATAAACATCCCTTTTCCTGTTTTAACACCAACAAAGCTTTTGCTCAATTTGCCCCCTGCAATGATCCTTCCTTCAAAGTCACTCAGATCTTTTCAGCAGCCATATTAGAATCAGGTGGAATTTTGTTACTTTTGCATGTGTCAGTTTTTGATGCTTACAGTTAATTCTTTCTGAAACTTCGTCTTTTCACTCTTGCACATCTCTGCTTAAGTCTGAAAAGAAAGCTGCTCAGAATAAGGATGTTTTTGGAGCTGTTGAGTTATTTTTATCAGGTTATGTGCTTAATAGATGCACGCATTATGATGTGTGATAAATCAATAAGAACCTAAAAAAACACAGGTCTTCTGTTTTTTTTTTCAATCATCACCCTGAGATTACATTAGCCATTTGCAAAGAAACAGTTTATTTAGCTGCCTCAGACTATGTAGCATCTGAGTTGTTTTGCTGTTGTAACTGTTTAATTTTACCATGTACTCACAATATGCCTGGGACTGCAGACAAGGCCGGATTAACCATATGGGCAACTGAGCAATTGCCCAGGGCCCACGAACTCTAAAGGGCCCAGGGCAGCAAGGGCACAAGCAAAATACTGTATCTGTAATCTCCGGCTTTATATCTAGGGTGACCGTACGTCTTCTTTTCCCCGGACATGTCCACTTTTCACTCTCCGTGCGGGTCGTCCAGGGGGGTTCTTGTATTGATGAAAATGTCCGGTGTTTCATCCAGGAGCAGGGATCGAATTATGGGGGAGCTGGATATCCTACACATCCAGGGGAGCCGGAAAAAACGTTTCTACCTATATTACATCATTTATGGACTCTCAGCGTACCAGGAATTCTTTGAGCGGACAGCACAGAGAGCAGCAGAGCGATGATCGTTGGTGTGCTCCAGGCAGCTGCGTCCAGCGCACGGTCCATTCTCAAAGTGGCGCAACCAAAAAACTATAATTAACACACGATCGTTCATGTCTGCACATGTTCTCTATTTTCTGTCTTATTTGTGCCTGAAGCGCTCTGCTACTGCGGAGCTCATCACCTGTGCTGCGGTGATTTCACCTCACTGACGCAGCATCGAAACGCGCACTCCGCTTTGCGGTCAGGAGATCCCGTTGATCTGCTCAAAAGTATCTGATTAGGTGAAAAAGTAAGAATCCAGGCAACAGTTTTTCTGGAGAATTTAGAGGAGATGGAAGAGGAGAGACAGACAGAACAGGAAAATAGTTAAATAAAAACAAGAAAACAAAATGTAGGTAGATTTATCTCCACTACACGTTTTTACCTGTATAAAGCAACACGTTATACACATGTCACATTTATACATTTGATACGATTCAGATCACATTCAAAACTCAGTCACACACCCAGGGCAGTTTTAGAGACGTTTTGTTGGCAGAATCTGATATTAATTTTAGCTATAAGCTAGGTGTTTTGATAGAATACCGGGAAAAATGGGTCCCAACGTGGTTTGTGTGGCGTTGTCATACATATGTAACAGTGATATTGACAGGCAGGACAAAAATGTTCACCGTTTTCATCACTTCATTTTGTTGCACTGGAATTTCATGTTGGGCCATATATAGGAAGTTGCCCCCCCCCCCCCCCTTTTACCCCCCCCCCCCCCACCACCACCACCACCACCACCACCACCCACCCCCCACCACCACCAAACACTGACCGAGCAACTGTACAGCAACTGCTGGTAAAATTTCCTGGAGCCGCCCATGCTTAAACATTTAATTTGTGTGAAAACATTTAGATTTGATGTGCCTATTCACTTCCTTGTATATTTAAAAAATGCTTTGCACGAGATATGTAATAGCTAACATTAATCTGTGGGTTTATAAAGCCCATTAGATTTTATTTAGATAACCTGTAAATAACAGTAGACTGGTTGTTACCCCAAACTGCAGTGCAGGACATCCAAATTCACGTTGTCAAAACAACAATGTGTTTATTAACCACTAGGGGAAGCTAAAGCCAAAAGAAAGGACAAAAAGGTTAAAAGTCAAGTCTGATCATCCTAATTTGTCATTTACTCAGTTTTACAGGATCATCTATTTTTGTCCCACACTTTAAATCTT